TTTTCAAGGAAATTCGTCCTCCATAAAATTTTTTATTAATATTCTTCTGTAGGATAAAATTACCCTGAGATGTCAGGACATTTGACATACATTTCACGCGGACAAAAATAATCTGTGGAACACACAAAAATCTCGTGTGGGAATCGTACCCACGGATCTGAATGTATGTTTTTAAGGAGCAACTCTCCTCATCGTCAGGCAGGTGGCCGGTCGTAAAAAACATAACCAAAACCACGTACAATATGGTTCACATTTTGTGCCGAACCCACCTAGGAAGGATAAGGGCAGGAGAATGATGGTGATGACATGTGTATATACTACATAAATAATACTATACTACTAAATAATTCATCATTATAATCATTTCAGCCTGTTTGAGTCCACTGCTGAACATAGGCCTCCCCCATAACCGCCACGAAGCGGCGATCCTGAGCCACCTGCATCCATCGACTTCCCGCATTACAAAAGAATTATGATACATAAAATTCAGACCGTAATTTATTCATATTTCATTATTCTGAAAGTTGTTACCACATTGTTAATTCATTTACGTACATAATAGTTTTCTAAGTTCGCCACGTTATTAGTTAGAAATTGTTAAAAAGTTGTAACGTATGAATGGAGCAACCGGTTGGGAAATACGTGTGAATAATTTTCGCCGCTAGGGTTACCAATAGCCTGACGTTTATCGGGTTTCCTACAAAATTTAGTAAAGTGGGATTTAAGGAAATGGTTTTTAGGTGACAGCATAATTGTGACATTTACCCACTTCGTTAGGGTCAAAGGCCTCAGTACTAGTGTTGTATGGTTCGAATAAAATTATTTGCTATTATTTAACACACAAGAAAATACCAAAGCATCCCGAATTTCCTCTTCACTGCAATATTATGCTGGATAGACATTGTTGTAGGATCACAATCTTATATTGGAATATTTTATCACAACCTCGTATCTTTAAATGGAGAATATGTAAATTTATGTTGTCATAAAATTTCTTCTCTTAGATCTCGCTGAGACAATGAGCCGTCCGGGCTATAAATAGCTCATTGTCTGGGAGCTCGCTTTTTAACCGACTTCAAAAGGAGAACCTCCACTCAATTAGACTGTATTTTTTTTATATTTGTTACCTCAGAACTTTTGACTGACCGATTTTGATGATTCTTTTTTTTATTTGCGAGCTGGTGCTTCCCATGTGGTCCCATATTAATTTCATTGATATTGGACCTTGGGCTCCGGAGATACTTAGGGAACTCCTGAAAATTTAAATATGAAATTCGGTATTGTTTTTTCGGTTTTGTTTTTCGTTAGTAAAAAAATGTTTATTATTCGTATCCTATATACGCGAGGGACCTGAATTCGATTCCCGGTGCCGGCACCGATAGAATTGTTAATTTTAAGTGCTAAGTTATCTCGTGCTCAGCGGCGAAGGAAACTATCGTGATGGAACCTGCACATTTTCGAAATAATAACAATAAAAAATTTGGAAGATTTGTAAAGTCCACCAATCTGTAGTGGGGCCGCGTGTTGGACTATGTCCTAATAGCCTCTGTACAGGGGAGGTCTTTGCCCAGCAGTGAGACATATATAGGCTGTTAATTTACTTTGTTATTAGATCTCGCCGATTTGAAGTGAAAACTTAGCTCCTTAGTCAAAGTCAAAGTCAACTTCTGTTTCAGTAAATGTTCGAATGTCCTAAAATTTCCGACAACGCGAACCCTGTATGTGCCGAACGGCCGAGTAACAATAGTGATGCAGGTGCGACTGTTAATTTCCATCAGTGTGATCCACATCGCTCACGTAGGAATGGGAGAAAGAGCGGGGCGGCGCCCGCGGCGGCAGTCGCCCGACACGCGCAATTCGACATGGTCAACTGTACATAATTGTCGAGCGCTGCGCGTCACAACTGGCGTCTGAAAATCACGCGCGAGTTTCCGAACGGTGTACGGAAAAAAAAAAAAAAAGAAAAAAAAAAAAAACAATCGCAGCCCGTTTCGGCGCGAAACGCCGGTGTCAATTTGTTTACGTCGTTCATGATTCGTATATTAAACGGGTCTCGTGTACGAAAGTGAATTAACATTTTAATGACGTGCGAGAGTGAACGCGGCGGATTGCGTAAGAGACAAACGTTTTGGAAGATATTGGCGGAAAACGTCAGTGCCCTATGTTATTTTGTATAATAATTACATTAAACTGCCTTTTCTCTATGGACGGTGAATCATTTAGAAATTCCGAAACAAAAGACAACCATAAGTGTTGCTTCATGTAGGATAGGTTTTTAAAGAGGAATTGATTTCATAACAATGCACGGTTGTGCCTGGGAAAATATTGGCATGTATAGAGTAGAAAATACTGGGAAATGTAGCATAATCGAGATATTGAATGCGCGGACGAAATAATTGTCGACTTTCTTCACTACACTATATGTAATCATATATATAAGCAGAAGAATATATGTATATAGAAACGAGAGTAACAAAGAACCCTCACGTTTTACAATCATAGTTTGAATACGAACGCTTTAGTGAATTTCCTTTGAGCGTCTATTAAATGCTTTGTGAAAAAATACCTTGGTAATGCATGTTCTTTATGGTAATTTGATGACAATTAACATATCATGATTTATTCATCTCGCTATTCGTTTAAAATCATCGCGCCCATATGCATACTAAATGAACATTTGGAACAATAGTAGCATTTGAGAATTTTTTAACTCTTTGAATAACGATATTTAATTGTTTTCCTCTGTTTATTTATTTAATTTCTATATATTAGCTTAACTATTTATATCGCTCGATAAACGATTTGCTTGCGGCAGCTTAAATTTGTGTTTGCTTATTTAATGTTTCTGTATAAAATATAAAAGTTATCAATCTAAGATTGTTGTTACTTATAAGCGGTACACGGCGTTTATGGTGAAAGAATGCATCGTGAAATAGAAAGTCCGTTTTTTCTGTGTATAACACAGATGCTTGTATTTGCGACGACATTTTTAGTGGTATATATATTTTATATCACTAAAAATATCGTCGTAATTTTTTAAATAGAAGCAATAATGACACAAAATATTTTTTTTTGTTTAAAATAAGAACTGAAACTCTGAATGGAAATACGAAACAAGAAGTTGCATTGGTTCAAAAAATTTACATAAATAATAATGAAGTATAATATTATTATAAATAAAAAGTTTACAGTTCTATAATGAAGACAGCCAAAGTACTGTTACGTTGTTAATGTGTGGGCAGCACATTAAATTATTTCGTAATTTGCTTTTTAAAGCAAAGTTGTCTATTTTGTTCAAACGTTGTTTTCGTCATTCAACCTTTAATTTAAAAGTTAAGTATGAATATCTTCATATCATGTACTTCAAAAATGGAAGAATATCGTTCAAAAATCGTTAAAAGTTTTATATACAAGTATAGTTTCAAATAACCCCGTGCGCTTACGTGACAAACGTCGGATTGCGTTTTTCCTGGTTCTGTTTATTAAGGAAAAAAACTTCTTTGGCGAGTAATTAAAATGTCGTGATGGATTGCAAGTTGGCAACATTTTTTTTATTTTCGTTCGTGGGCATACATTAAAAAAATGTAGCCTGACTTGTCCTATTTGCTTATAATTAAAATTTCAATGAAATTATATAGCCGTTATTTTATGTGGAATGCGCTATCACAGGCAATAAGAATGCTTTGATCTTTAAATTCTATCGAAATACTTCGAATAAAATTACCATCACACACATGCGCGTAAATTATTGAAATGGCAACCAAGTAGTATTTCTGGACGAATGAAATTATTCTGATTCACGATATACGTATATGTAATATTTTTTAATATCTCAAAATTAACAGCGGAAAATGTTACAAGGCCAATATTAGCATTAAAGAAGTTTTGGCTATTCTATCTACAGAAATCATATGACTGCAAAACAAATAAGAAATTATTTGCATATACGATTTATTCTATTTATTTACTTACAGGACCTAGTATGTCTGAGGACTGTCATTTTATAAACATAATTTGTTAAAGGATTGAAATATTACGAAGAAAAATATTTTTGATTGTGTATGGGGACTATAATTATAGTTGCAAAGAGGATTAATATACGCTATGTATAAACTATATCATGGTAACTATTATAGTAAATATGTATGATTTTTTTATTCAAAAAACGTAACTTGAAATACCCGCTTTATTCTACCTTATACAGTAAATAGTTAAATACTCATTGATTTTATATATAAAAAAGTAATGCTAAATTTATTGCCGATATATTAGTCAACGTAAGACTTAATTGCATTGTTAGTACGCGTTTAAATGTAATCGACTACTAGGGGTTAGATTCGAATAAATAACGATGTATTTAACGGTAACAGTAAGAAATATTACGGAATGGTTGTACCATGTAACATTCATTCTCTTCTCACTTTAGTTATCGTTCATTTATGAAAAGCGTTCTCAGCTCTCGTGACGGTTCTTAGTTTAACGAGCGTTTACGTAACGCCTCAACTGGATGAGAGGCGGAAATTAATTAGTGTGTACTTTGTGAGTAAGTAATATAATCTCAGCCATTGTTTTATCTACGGTTCACCAGAAAGTAAACTTTATTGAAGGATACATAACAAAGCTTTCCTAATTCACCCCATTAGTACAAGAGAGTTGAATTTAGTGAAGGAGTTATGGCGCTGTGCTATTAGTATATATTAAATAAAAATAGTTTCCTATTTTTAAACTCACCTTTATGACTATATTATATAAAAAAATTTTAGTGAATCTTTTCGTCATTTCACAATTATTATAAATAGGTTTACAACTTAATTGAATATTTATTATACTATTTTTCTAATTATTAGGCCATAACCAGATATGTTTAAAAAGTAGTTGAAGGCAATCTACCTTCACTGTCTCTAGTACAAAAACTTATAAAATAAATGTGTTACATAATCCATTAGAACTGAACTTATTGTGTGAATGCGAAAATTCAGTTATAACCTCACCAGTGTTAAATGACAAGTCTGCTGAAGAAAAAGTTCGGCGCCAAGTATGGGACGATGTCTAAAGAACGGCCCAAGGACGATTGCAACGCGATCGGGCGTTTGATCAAAGACTTTTGCAGCTGCACAGAGAACGCCACGTGGTCGCCAGACATGACCGCCGATCGGAAGGGGCCGTTTTTAAAAAGCGAACTGACCAACATGTCCGCTATGCGCAGGAGAATTATGACGCTGGCGAAGAGGAGACACAAGAAGCCCGAGCCGCCGAAATTGGGCCGCGAGACGGAGGCGCTGACCGCGAGCCTGGTCAACGTCACGAGCTCCGAAGAGAGCACGTTAAAGAAGAACATCGACAGCTTCCTAATAGCGCGTCGCATGACCGCTTTTGACGAGGACATATACGAAAAGCCGATCCATTGCTCGGTGAAGAACTCGACTTGCGGTGAAAACTGGTCTTTAAGTAAAGCCTGGAGGAACAACAACATTGACCTCTTCAATCGTTCCACCTTGGGCTCTATGTACCTGGAGCGGATAGACGAAATGCCCAGTGGGAAGGGGGACAAGAAGCTCAAGGAGCAAGTGAGGTACGACAGGAATATAAAGCGACATATTAGGATACGTGTGATGCTGTCGTTACGGATGAGGCGGTACGTCAAGAAGCGACTAAGGAGGCAAAAGTTGCCGGCCAACGCTGCGGTGCCACCGAGGAGATTTCCCAGAGGGGCGTCAGTCACTTCCAGTTTCGGGACGAGGTCCTACAGAAGCGTGATGACGGATAAGACCGGTGACGGAGCAGTCGTGTTCGACGTCCACGAGGCGCGGAACTCGACGTTGGAGTTGTGCCACGACTATGAAGAAGACTTAGACACCCTGGACATCGCTTTGCGCGCCGGAAATTTCAGGTATTTATTTATTTTTGCTCTAATTTGTTTCGATTCCGATTTCAAACGGTGACATGATTGATCATATTTTCTTCTTTTTTATTTATAGTCGGCATTCATATAAATCAATTACTAAATTAAAAAATTTAGTGTTCTATACATGTTCATATTTTAAATTAATAAAGTACCTATATTTATATTGATGTCCAAAAAAACAGTTTGAAGGTGTTAACGTCAATCGTACAGTAATCTTAAATGGACAAAAAATAAATTTAGGAAGAAATAAAATCATATCGAATGATTAAAAACGTATCGAAATTAGCATCTGCTATTTAGCGCTACTATTATAAGCGTTCAAAAACAATGATTTAGATATATCACAGAAATAAAACAGTTACACGGACGCGGTGAACAGTCGATGCGTAAACGTCATTGATTCCCTAATGAAAATTTTACCGAATGCCCGGCCGGAAGTATGCCCGTGGACCGTGAAGCGCTTTTGTTATCTGTGCACCGTAGACTGAGCCACATGACACTCGAATAATACCCGTTAATGGTTGCCTTTTTTCTGTGCGATATGTGACCAGTGTTATTTCTCATAGATTAAATCTTTAAAGGTTAAAAAGTTTCAGTAACTTCGCAAATTACGGTTTACATTAATATTTGCGTGTAGGTTAAAATTGGGGAACGAAAATGATCTTACTATCTCGAACTTTTTCCTCGAAATAATGATCGCGCGAAGCTACAGGTAATAGTTTATCAATAATAATGGTGTGCAACACTACTTTCTTAATATTTTGACAGGTCGTTAAAAAAACTCAATAAGTTAACTGCTTGTCGTTAATGCTGTTACACTGTGATGGTGATTTATTTGTATTAAACTATCATTAGGGTTACAACACTAAGTAAGTCTGGGTCATCAGACGGCCTTGAGAGAATGCGGTGATAGAAATCAGAGAGGTATTGGCATTGTGAGTGGGGTAACCATGAATTCATATATTTAAATGAGGACAAGCTTTATGCAACAAATAAGTTCATTGATCTATATTTTTTTTAATAAATCCATTGTATTCGATTACGTAATAAATCAAAGTTTTATTTGAAAGGAACATTAACTTATTTTGGGGTAATGAATAATTTAAAATTATTATGCTCGGTACGACATGAAACCTTTATGTCTAAACATCTGTCTGTTATGTCTCAACAGTTTTTCACGTTATAACATATTACGAAGACGAGTTGTTCGCAACTAAACAATGGGGCTGCGGGCAATGCTATGTTATATCCTGGACGGGGAATTTCTCTGGACAGAGTTGCGGTTTATAATCACCATCTAAGGTCGAGTTCGAAGAAGGATTCGTGACGTAAGAACAAGTGAAGTAAAACGTCCAGGCATCCGGCTACATGTTCGTCAATTACTTTTTAACCGACTTCAAAAAAGGAGGAGGTTTCTCAATTCGACCGTATATATTTACGGTGGTAGGGCCACGCAGCAGCGTCGGCTGTTGCACAAATGGGCAGGCCCGTCCGGGTAAGTACCACGACCTCACAGAAGACCGGCGTAAAGTATGACAAATACTTTCGCGTTTCGTCTGGTGAGTGAGGTATCCGGAGCCTAATTTTCAAAAGGTTGTCAACGCATCTTTAACCTTCGGGTGTGGCAGATGTCCATGGGCGGCGGTATTCACTTGACATCAGGTGAACAGTCTGCTCGTTCCACAACTTTTCGCATAAAAAAAATATTTTTATTTTTTTTATGTAAAACATACATAAAAAAAATATTTTTATTTTTTTTATGTATGTTCGCGGATAACTTCGTCGTATATGAATCGATTTTGATGATTCTTTTTTTTATCGGAAAGGAGATATCCCAAGGGTGGTACCAAGATAAGGAAACACGGATCTGATGATGGCATCCCTGAGAAATTGAGATCATCATTATTGAATGTTATAGGTATTAACAATGTTAATGCCGAAGACGTGGGTTCGATTCCCACAGCGGCGACAATCTTTTCGCACTTTTTCTACATATTTTAATGTTCAATCTTAAGTGCAAAGATTAGCACTATAAACAAATTTAAATTTCTATTAACAATGTTTTTAATTTTCTGATTGAAGTCGGTTTTTTTTGTTGAAATTTCTACTTGTATGATATGAGCTCGGTGGAAAATAGAGCGCATTTATGCATCTCTAACAGACACGAGAGTTTGTATTGTTATAGTATTCTATGGCATCAGCAAAAGGACTATCTACAATTTTCAGTGCTACAGTCACACCATGGGGACTTAAGTAAGACCATCGATATTAGTTTCCCAACTGGCATTAACGTATACAGAGGTGCAGTTGAGCCATTGACTCGTATTAAGGGATTAGATATTAATCGCGTTCTGTAACCATACTATGATACTTCACTTTGATGTTACAAAAGACGCGTGTCTCCGAAGCTTATTCAAAATTCATATTTGTAATTTAATGAGCTTAATAGATAATTAGTCGAAAATTTTTCCACTTGCTAAGGTTCAAATTCGGTTCTGGCGCCATGAAATTCTTAAAATTTAATTGCTGCCTTACGTACGTCAGCGGTGGCGGAAGACATCGTGGAGAACGTACATTTTTTTTACTTTACATCATTATTTTATTATTATTAAAGCCTGCTAAAGTGTTAACTAAAAGGTTTAAAATTTAATAATAGATTTTACGATTTTAATGTTGAAATGTTTGAATTTGTTTACATTTTCATCGTAGAATAATACGTATTTATGTTATTCGAATAATACGTATTTATTAATCATATAGTGTAGTAATTAAAATAATAGTTAACTATTATATTATTTATCTATCAGTTGTTTAACTGAAAATGTTGCATAAAAAATAACGGCTTCTTTTTATTTGGCTTATAATTTTGTTATTATAAACATAACGTTTAAATTCAATTCGGCGTAAGAAATCGTTTACCTTTTTAACTTTTTTAAAAACAACACTAAACTTTTTACTTTTTTTATTAGTCGATGTCAGTTTAATATAGATCACGCATGTTAAAATGATATCAACAGATTTCTTATGCACTATTTATTTTCTATTTCATAATATGCGGGACGTGATTTACATCCTTTGACTTGTCAAAAATTAATGGGCTTGTGAAATATTGAGACTGTAATATGGTGGTTAGATCCTTGATAACTTTTTCAAATATGTCAGAATTGTCTTGCAACACTTTGTTTTAGGGTGAGTAGATTAGGTTTGCTTTACTCTTTGTCATTTTATAAGTGTATAAAATTTCTCGAGATTGATTTTTTCGGTGATAAAAAACTTAAAAGATACACGCACGCATTTTAAGAATTAAAGGCAGATAAAAAATAAAGATTAGAAGTGCAGAGATTAGCACCACAAAAAATTATTTTCAAAAAGCAATGGCGAATTCCCTCTTTCGAATTATCGTTGTTAAACGATATTCTAAATTCTTTATATGCTGGAAAGTTTATAATAATGGATGCGCCAAGCATTGCTTAAAATGCTAAAAAACAATGTAGATAAAAGGCGTTGAGCTTTTCGTCGGTGTGGTAATCCCGGGTTCGATTCTTACAGCGTGCACTGTGCTGTCACTGAAACAATATCGTTCATGCCGAACCATATGGAAAACCGTATGGATCCGATGTTCGAATGAATTAATAATAATAATAAGAAAAGTCGTTAGTTAGTTAATTTGTTATTTATTTAGATACATCAATGAGTAATTCACAGTATATGACGATATGTAAATAGTAAAATAGTAGATACAGTTTTTGGTAAAGGCATAATTACACATTTACAGGTATGTACCAGTACCCGTTAAAAATTAAGGCTTATATATCCCATATCAGGAAAAACCACCGATTCGGAACTCAACAGCTGATATGACTTAAGCAAGAAAATTCCGGAATTGTTCAACAGAAAGGGTTTTATCATAATAACGCCAGACCACACACATATTCGCAATAGTTGAGAGAGTTTGTTTGGGAAGTGTTAATGCATTCCCCATAAAGTCCTGACCTTTTCACGGTGGTAGGGTTACGCAGCAGTCTCGGCGGTTGCACTAATGGGCGTAAGTACCACGACCTCAAAGAAGACCGGCGTCAAGTGGAAGTATAATACTTTCGCGTTTCGTCTGGTGAGTGAGCTGGCCTGAGCCCAATTTTCAAAAGGTTGTCAACGCATCCGGAACCCTCGGGTGTAGCAGATGTCCATGGGTAGCGGTATTCACTTAATATCAGATGAAGCTCGCTTGGCAACTTTTCACATAAGAAAACCTGGCATCCTCAGATTTCTTGTTTCGGTTTCTTCAAAATCTTTGGGTCGTGTTAGCTAAACGTCAATTATTATTAATAATAACATTTATTATAATTAAATGTAATTAAACTTTGAAAAAAGAAAATGCTTGGATTTATAAGTGACGTGAAATAACTTATATTAAAGTAATAATGTTAATAATTTCTTGTTATTATGATACGAAATGGTGTAGAAAGTAATGGTTCATTCACAATCAGAATATACCGTATTCGCATAAATGCAAGTAGTCATCATATTTGCATAAATGCTAGAAATCATAATCAGTAATGTTCACTTATGAGAAATTTTTGGTCACGGTTTCATAAAATAACGACAAAAACACGAAAATTCTCACACCGTTTCACATTTACGTGGAAGACAAAGATTGCAAGTACATACACTTTTCGTTTAGCCTATTTCGTCAATGCGACAACTCAGCCAGTCCTACAACAGGCACAAATGTGAGATAGTAAAGTAAAGTCCTCTGTAAAGGTATCTGGGCAAACTCCAACACGCGACACCAATGCGGATTGGCGAACTTCACATATTTTCAAAAAACCACCGGGGATCGAACTCAGGTAGCTCGAGTAAATTTAATTAAAGGCGAGCGCCCGGACACTGAGCAATCACGGCTCACACGATTAAACTAAACTTAATAATATAAACTCGTATCAACATAAATAACATGGGAGTTTTTTATTCAAGACCATAAAATACGCTTATGGGCTTGGCAATAATGACGGGGATTAAAGGAGGTTACATCTGACAGTCCCGTATGTGGAACCGGCTTCGATACAAATGGGTTAATCGGTTAACGGGGTGTACTGATGCAAAATGGGAGGATTATTTGCATACCATTTAAAAAAACTTGCTCGTAGTTATCAATATTTAAGACGTAGTATGTTCTGAAGTGGGTATAATGATATAATTTAGAGGTGAAAAGAGCCGATTCTTTTATCGCTCAAAACTATTCAGCGAGGAAATGCATCTAGCGTTCTTGGCTCTAGGCTTCACGTAGGCTAGGTTATTAGTTCTAAATAAGTTAAACCATATGTATATTCATCATAAAAATGCCAAAACCGTGATTTCATATAATTATGAAATAGTATAGAAGGAAATGCTACTGCATCTCTTTGGGTGTAATTGATGTCTGCGGGCGATGATAATAACTTAAGTCTGCTTGATTGCCACGACCCCTAAATGTATCACTTGATTAATTAGGTTGCAACCCATTTGCAACTGTTGGGCGTTGCGTATGTCCTCGGCTGCGGTTATCAAGAAACATCAGGTAAACTGCCCGTTCGATTGCAATCTAATCGCGTAATAAAATCTTAACATTGAAGTTGTTTGTTTGTTTACGATTTTATGACATGTTTATTTTACTGGTGCACAAAATTTTTCATTGACATTACTGAAATCATGCGCATACGGATTTTTACTTTGATTTTTCAAATCAATTTCAACCTTGCGTTTCCGAAAATCTCTTTAACAAAAGATTACATAACATTTAACATTTAATGGATACTAGCTATTGCTCTGTCTACTCTGTTAGAGCGGTAAAACTTGTTACCTTAAGAAATACATCCGCCATCTATTGACAAGTAGCAGCAACTAAACTTGTTAGTATTGCGTCATGTTTTGCTATTTCATAAGACATTATATAGATGGCGCTCGTAACTAACGGGCGCGTTGAAGTCTTTTGTTAGAATCTACGATATTGTGGTTTTTAGTAATTGTAGTTTATAATAATTGTAGTTTTCTAGTAAACTTGTAGCAATATTTTGAATCAGTTATAATTAAACGATTAAAATAAATATGCTATTTTACAATTAAGGACAGTATTGTACTAATTTGTTTATTAATTCTTCTGCGTATTGCTACAAAAGATAAATGAACCACCCCCCAACTGTTAAAAATAATATATCTAGATTTATCCAACAATAAAACCCAAGTTTTAATTTTAAAGCACCAATGATCCACTCGTGTAAGTCGTAAAACTTTTGCTTAACACACACATATATAGATAAAATATATACTTCTTCTTTTCAGGAGCGGTCGTCTAGCGGTGGAGGGGTGGTGGTGCGGACGCATGATGCCGTCTGGTGGGCGGACGAATAACGGCGCCCAGGCACTGCACTATGCAGCTGCCAGGGGCTGCCTGGACTGCGTGAGGCTACTAGCTAATACCACGCCTGATGTCTCGTGAGTATATACAATAAATTTAACATTAACATTTGTGTGCGTTAACACGATCTATTTACGTAGTCTGAATGGTAATTTTGGATTACCACAAAAGAACTCTATACGCTTTGAAACACTATGTGGTATCCGCTAAAAGGTCTTATATCTATTCAGATTGAGTTCAGATTGAGTTACATATAAAAAAAAACTACGAATATCGTTCTAACCCTTCAGTTATTGTTATTGAATATTATCTTAATTATTTCATTACATAACTTACAAGTGTTTGTGACCTATCACTGTTAGCTGCATACCAGGAATAAGTGTCAAATAATTTATGCATTTTAAGAATCTCAAAAAATTAAGTTCATTTATGCTCACAGCTGAGATTCGAACAAGTGACCGTTTTATAATCGATATGCCGATGGACCACTGTGCAACAAACCAAAATTTGACCAAAGCCAACATTTCTGTTAAAGTATTTGCATATTTAAAAGATTCTATTGATTTCTTATCGGTTAAAACTCATCGCATCCGGTGTACGGCGACAAGCTCATCTATCTGTTTTCATGCCACAGAAATGATTTTATAATAGTATCCCATTACGTGATATGTTACTCATAAAACTATAAGTATGATTTTTTTCTTTGTGTATTACAGTCTTACTGTTTATAATTGGTTTTATGGAATTGTTAGTTTTTTTTTTTTGTTTCTTTTTATTTTATTTTATATTTTTTGGCAACACTATCGCATTGGGTCAGCCTGTAATGATAGTTGTGTGCGTCAGTCTAATAAATAAATAAATAAATAAATAAATAAATCTGTCGCTATAAAGACTATAAAGTAGTGGAACTTGGTATCAATTGGCCCCTTAATGTTTGTAAGTCGGGACACCTTGCACCGGCTTCCGTCCATTTTCAGTGTCCATCAAATCATCAATCATCATGCTTTGTATTGTGATCGAACCGAAAACTCCAAAGCTTGCTCCAATCGAAATTATTGGAGCGTCACACATAACCTGGGCAGGGGGCGAATGTAACACTCTACAATTTGCGCCTACCAGCCCGACACACGCTATTAGGTGGCATAATCGAGCGTATGTAATACGAGAGGTTTTTGTTTGTCCGCCGGGATGCGGACAAACGGGTAACTGTCCAGTCACGATAGTTAACGGCTCACTGGGGCAAAGTAACCATAGGAGTCAGTCTTAGGTGCGACGCAGTGTGCTTTATACAGTAATGTAAGATTAGCTAAACTTTCTTACAACAAGTTTGCTGTTCTCACTTCGTATTTCGTTATAGGTTTTATTAATTAAATTATGAAAACTTATTTACTTACTATATGAGACATTATCAAGGTAATAATTACGAAACGCTAAACTCACTTCCAATCGGTGTAGGAAGCGACTATTTCGCAGTGTAGGACGTCTCCCCCCACTAGATGATGATGATGAAGGAATAATAAGTTAAAAAAGATACTACAAAAGAGACAAAGTAACTGCTCATATAATATGTTTTTAAAAAAGTATAGGAACGCCAATGGCCTCTGATGACCGCAATTCGTCTACTGTCACTTACTTTAGTATACTGAATTAAAAGCAAAAATCGGGCAGTCGGCTACTACGGATACTTTATATCTTATATGACATTGTTTACTTCTAACAAATATAATTAATTATTTTACGGACCTAAAACAATTTACTCTGTCCTGTGATAAAGAATACCGTTAGTGTTTTAAAACATCGGGGTACTAAAAAAAATTAAACGCCATAAAATCCCTAAAATAATGTCCTCAAAGTATGTTACATTCGCGTAAATCAACGAAATCAAGGATGATTTACTTATTCCATAACGGGGAACAGTTCGAATTAATTAAGGTAAGCCTCAGGAATGTATAAGTAAATCTTATGCATGTCGTTCATTAAATAAAACAGCTCATCCATTACGGCATTATGTCAAACATTCGAATTAGGAGACGTTGCGAAATTAATTTAAGCGCTGAGTATCATTCGGCGATCGAGCTCTTAATCGGGCCCGGTTAAAGACCGCGCATTACGTTTAAATTCGCCTCTCTTGCTCGGCTAACTGCGAAAATATTAATGAGACGATGGCGGCGCGCACGCGCGGCGCAGTGAAAGCGTTACGGAATTAATTGCGCGTCGCCGAGATCGTCCCAATCTGGGCATCTTCACACATCGCTTGGAAATACGCGAACTATAAATCCCATGCTCGTCTTGATGGTTTCGTAAATGTAAACCGTTCAATATTCGCCGGAGAGTGGTAAAAATGAATTGAGATTCTCCGGTAAACTACAGCTTAACATATATGTAAATTTCAATTTTAAGTGCTGACTTACCACTTGCTTAGCGGCGTAGGAAAACATCGTGAGGAAACCTGCATATTTTCTTAATAATAATAAAAAAAGTGTTTACAAATGTTTGAAGCCCTCTAATCCACAATGGTGAGTCCGTTGTGGATTGCCGCAATATCCACTGTACATAGTAGGCTTCGTAATAGCAGTGGGACATATATAGGCTATTATTTTACTTTACTTTAATATCTTTGTTCCATTGCTGTTTATGATGGTTCAGTCTGCCACGCGTGCCTTTTTTGGATATGCGGACTTTACAAATATTCCTATTGTGTTTATTTTAGAGCCTGCATTATTAGTGAATTCAGACATCAAAAACCTTAGATCTTTCCAGGAGCTGATTATTTTCCAACTGTGGTAGGGCTTCGAAACAGTCTTGACTGTTTCATGAATGGGCAGGTCCATCCGAGCAAGTACTACGACCTGACATAAGACCTGACATAAGCGTTTCGGGTTGTGAGTGCGGTAGTCGGGGCTCACTTTATTATAAGGTGGCAACGCATTTGCAACTCGTTCGGTGTTGTAGATTTCCATGAGTGGAAGTATACATTTAAAAGTCAAGTGAACAGCGTGCCCATTTGCCAACTTATGACATAAAAATATATATGTATATAAATATCGATTTAAAATATATTTTGGCCCTTTTAATAACAACGGTGTAAACAATTATCCTTCACGTTGATCTTACATATCTTCTTTATATATAAAACTAGCTGACCCGGTATACGTTGTCTTGCCGTATAAATTATTTCTAAGGAATTTGTAGGGTAGAAAAATATATTAGGGGTAGACCACCCTTAACATTTAGGGGGATGAAAAATAGATTTTGTCCGATTCTCCCCTGGCCGATATGCACACAAAATGAGAAAAAGAACCGTTTCGGAGGAGTTCAATTACAAACACCGTGACACGAGAATTTTATATATTAGAGATTCTCGTGGCACAATTTTAGTTGCCATACTCCTCCGAAACGGCTTGATCAATTTTTATGAAATTGTATATTGTGTATTTGGTATCTCTGAGAATCGGTCATAACCTAAATTTCATACCCCTAAGTGATAAGGGTGGTTCACCCCAAGGCATTTTTTTCTACCCTATAAATTCCCTAGAAATAATTTATATGGCAAAACAACGTTTGCCGGGTCAACTAGTTAATATTACAAGTGGGCGCCCAGTTGTAGAAATTCAACCGTAATTAATTACAGTTTCAACAATATTAAACTATTTTCAATATGATCACAGCCTTTAACAATAAACATAAAAGTATAATATATACGTGTGAGTTAAATACATGGTAGTGTGTGTAATGTTTCTTAATTGATTTAATGTATTTTTATGCATAATTAAAAAAATATATTAATATTCTGCACACCTTCTCTGTATAAAATATGTGTGGGAAATTTCATACACCACCGTTCGCGAAATTTTCGTAAAAAGGGGTAGAAAGATTTTTCTTCACATAATAAATAAGTATACATAAGTACAATATACAGATAATTTTGCGTTTAGTATGTGTTTATGCAAAGTATATCCTGTTTTTATTTAATTTATTTTCATCAGCAACTGAGTAGTGTTTGCCGGCTAAATACTGAGCTTCTAATTTACGTATAGTAGATATAGAGTAGTGAGCGCAAGAACAAAGGGTGATAATTCGACAAAGAAATTATTTTGAGCAATCTATCGTTAACTCATTAAATGGAGGAAACATTTTAAAAATAAATAAATTTTTACCATGTAAAAACCTTAAAGTTTTTGACATGTAACCGTTACCAATTTATTTGATATTTCTTAATAATTTTACATAATTATCTCACAGTGCGTTCTTTATTTATAAGTAATAACCTAAGCTTTAGAGTACGCAATTAACTCGCTCTTAAAGTAGTACCAATTTTCAAAAGATTGTAGAAAAATTAACGAAATGTGTTCTTCCGCAGCGAGGATTTAAATCTGTGTTCTCCGGTTTACGCACTTGTGCAAAGCTGGGATGGGAAGCTAGACTCCAATCAAGACATTAATCAAAATTAGTTGGTACCAGAATAAAATAATTGTAACTGTTAAAAACGTACGGACATTGGTACACTGCTTCAAAAAATATGCAACTTTCATAACCATGTCTGCGTTTATACATTCTATAAGTATCTAAATGGAAAAGTTGAGCACTGTAGAAACGTTTAATATACTCAGGGCTGTCGTCGCTTTCAGTAAAGTTGTCTTGGTTTTTCCTAATCCCCTTCTCCTCTGACTGATACTTGAAATCTCTTCCGGCATAACGTTTACGGGGCATTAACGCTAGAGAAAATAAAAACGACGTGCTTATTTTAAATGACTGTTACAGCAAGTGCGCTTATGGTCTCTTTAAAGTATATAACATAGAAGAGTCGCTTAAGCGGTTGAACCGATTTTTTTAATTTGTATCAATTGAAGTTATGATTACTATTATTTTAAATAATTAAGTTATTTACTTTGATGTTTTTATAAAACTATTTATTCCAAAATTATAAATGAATGAAGGGATAAACCTAAAGCAGAACTGATTACAGTAGAATGCACTTCCTAATAAAGTTAATTTATAAATGAAACTAATTTTACAGATTTATCGCGTTTATTTTTAATTTAAGTTCCCGACGTTTCGAACCCTTTACAGCGTTCAT